CGCCAATCCAGAAATTGCAAAAAGAAGTTGGTGACACTGGGGGGGGGGGCGACACACCACACACACACTTTTGCTTTTTGTATGTGAGGAGGCAGTATCCTGCATATGAGGCGTAAATATTCAGGATGACAGAAATACCCACAGAAATAAACAAAACCGTCTTGCACATCATTAAAGCAGATGGCTTGCTCACTTGCTATAAATGCCACAAGAACATTTATCCACAAGTGGTGGCTGGATCTGGTAGAGAAAGGAGGACATGTGACATGGGAGAGGCCTTGAGGTGGACCAACAAGGAGAGCAATAGCTGACCTTGCTGTCTGAGTAGCATTTCTAAGACAAAGAGGTAGTTCCCAGAGGGGTGTTCCATTTTGACGCACAAATATCCACAAAGGCATGAAATTGGGCCATAGCAGGGGCTCGCAGCCTCGAAAGCCTCGGCCCACCTTTATATCATCTGCAGGGACAATTTTTGAGCCTTTAACTGTTCCTAGAGAGCTCTGCAGCCTTCTCTGTACAGTCAGCTAATCACACCCTAATGTGTCTTATTGACCTACTTCTCCCTCAGTTCCCTCTGTTCGCCACTCTTCTCCATTTCCCCCTCCGGCTAGCAGTAATTAGCTCTCCTCCCTCTGGAGCAAGCAGACCCTTGATCCTGCCATGCCCAAAATAGGTGTGATCAGTAGCCAAGAGGTGCTCTAATTACTGCTAGCCAGAGGAGGAGAGCTTGTTTGCATGGCCTCCAGGGAAGGCTGTTTTCCTAAATGGTAGTCATGTTTCTAAATGGAAAGGTTTTCAGGGAAGGGGAGAGGGAGAGAGACAGTCTCATTTTCATGCCAGAGACACACCCCTCCCCACAAAAAAAACCATGGCCTCAGCATTCTCTAATGGCAAAATAGGTTTTAGTATTGAAACAGCAAAAGTTCAACAAATCAAGTCTGTCTCTAAGCTGCTGTGTAAAGACATGGGAAATGAACTGGCAAAACACAAGGTGTGGCTTTAAATTAAAGTAATGCTATTAAACTCAACTTGCAAACATGTGGTCTGCATAGGAGAAAGTCTACGCTACAAACCTAGGTAAAGGTAAAGGTACCCCTGACCATTAGGTCCAGTCGCAGACGACTCTGGGGTTGCATGCTCATCTCGCTCTATAGGCCGAGGGAGCCGTTGTTTGTCTACAGACAGCTTCCGGGTCATGTGGCCAGCATGACTAAGCCGCTTCTGGCGAACCAGAGCAGCGCATGGAAACACCATTTACCTTCCTGCCAGAGCAGTACCTATTTATCTACTTGCACTTTTTGGTGTGCTTTTGAACTGCTAGGTGGGCAGGAGCTGGGACCCAACAACGGGAGCTCACCCCGTTGCGGGGATTCGAACCACCGACCTTCTGATCGGCAAGCCCTAGGCTTTGTGGTTTAGACCACAGTGGTTTTATTTGTCTTTTTAAAATAATATTTATTAGTTTCCATTTCAACACAAAAACAGCAACATATTCTTATCATTACATATATTCTGACCCTTTTGGGTCGACTACTTCCCCCCTTCCCCCTAGTTAGCTTTCAAATTTCCTTACCTATTGTGATGGGATAATGAGCTGCTTGTGCGTAAAATGCAAGTCCCTCAGAGTTTGGTCGAGTCCTCAAACCTCTGCCTGCGACGGAGCCCCTCCAGCATGGCTGCGTCAATCGCTAGCAGAATCCGAAAGTGGTCTCTTATGGAATCTCTTCCAGCATAAAAGCTCCTTAACGGAAACACGTCTTCTGGACTCTCTGCGTGACAGTTTCCGGCGAGGAGTGGGTGTCCCTATAGGAGGTCTTGAAACCTCCCCACTGTTTTCGCTGGAAGTGTCTCTGATCCATCCCTCCGACTCACTTTCCCCTGGAGCCCCTCCTCTCCCCCTGCTGGTTCCCTCTCCAGCTGCTAAGTTTCTCTCAACCTCCGGGAGCCTTTCCACCTCCTGTCTTCCCGATGACAGTTCCCTGACACCTATCTTAGCATTTCCCGTTTCTCTTATTTACCTTATTTTACTGGTAATTAATTCAAAATACTAAATAATTGTAAACAAGTAACTATCTCTATTTGCAAAGAACTTTAAATCAGTCCTGTTAGTGTTATCAAATTTTTACAATGTTCTTTCAAATATGATATAAATTTAGTCCAGTCTCTTTTGAACAGTTGGTCTTGCTGGTTTCGGATCTTCCCGGACAGTCTTGCCAGTTCTGCATATTCCATCATCTTGGTCTGCCATTCTCCTAGTGTTGGTATTTCTTGTTGTTTCCATTTCCACCACAAAAGTGGTTTATTTGTCAATACATTTTGTGAGAATGTTAAGAATCCCTTTATACACACCCAGCTGTTTCACAACCAAGCTACAGTTCTCAGGTTTTATCTTAGTTTTTTGACTGGGAAACATGGTAATTACACTGGTTTGAAACTGGTTTATAGTAGTGCATTTTCACACAAAACACGTTTCATTTGCCAAAAAATATGGACTCTGACTATAGTAATGCAAATGAGGCCACTTTTGAAACAACGCAAGGAATGCTGGTGTGAAGGCTCAGAGGGGTGGTGGAAAGAGGCAAGCCTCAAAGTGCTACTGGAAAATACTGGAACTTTAATAAAATAGTAAACTACCCAATACATTCCAGAAGAAGCCTAGGAACCTTACTTGGGCTAATTCAACATATATAATTCTTATGTCCCTGAAGAAATTTTCCAGCAAAATGGTCAAGACAATTGACTATTTATTAAAGCTCTCTACATTTTCCAGTTCCATTTTGAGGCTTGCCTCTTCCTCCTTTTGTATTGGTGTTGCCTTTTCATCTTCTTCCATGAAAACGTAAGACAGGAAACATCTAAAATTGCTATCTCATTGGATCTGATCTTGCAACTAGAATTCTTCTAGTCCTTATTAACAGGTACTATAAAAAATAGTTGTTGCCTGCCTACATCAGGAGAAGGAAGATTAGCTTCTTATCAGCTGCAAAGAGTTAATATAACATATTGTAGCATCCAGTGACAGTTGATGGGGAGGTTGTCTCTTTTCCTGCCCATAAAGTGAGGTGCCAATACAATGAAAGAGAGCTGCTGTCCTTCTTTTCTAATCCACCCAAGCTGTGAATAAATGTCATAAAAGTGGACAGTCCCCTTCCCCTGACCTCTCTGAATAAAAAGCACAAGTCTTCATCCCCTCCTACACAAAGCACCAAGACATCATTAGCAGTTTGGTGGCACCATCAACCAGCATCAAAGGCAATTTTAAAGAACAGAGAAGAAATATACATACATTTTTACCTGCAACATTAAGAATGAAGCACGCCACCTCAAAGTTACCAGAATTAACTGTGCCTTTCCTCAGCACTAAACCCAAATGACCTCGACTGCAAATTTAGATACAAAAGGCTCCACATAAGATGGTATCATCTTGAGGGGAACCAAGTCGTGATGCCCTCTTGCTTTTGATGTACGCTTTGGAGACAAGCAGTTCCTGGAGCAAGCAAGGGAACCTTATAGCTTCTCTACATTGGAAGTCAAGAGCACATTTCACTAGAAACTTACATCAGTTGCAAACTGGCATAGCTTGCACATAAAGAATCCTCAAAACTACAATTTGTTGAGGCCACTGAAAATTCTGCTAAGAGATCCTTAGAACCTTGCAGAGCAAAAAAGCCAGTCCAATGCACAGAGACCTGATAAAGGGTTCTCTGGTGAGAAGGGGTGGAATCAGTCCAAGCCATTCATGGTCAGATAGGAAGAATATATCAGTATTGGGTCTGCAGGGGGAGCCAAGGGCAGAGCAGTGGTAGAGAGGCAAAAAGAAGGAAGGCATCATCTTTAAGTGTCCCCTGAGCCTCATTTCCCTGAGGCCTCTGCTTGAATCTCAACTTCCTTTATCCCATCCTTAGTGCTTATTATACAATCAAAAGTCTATGGGAAAGTGCTCGTAATGGCAGATATATATGCCATTTTCCCATTCATTTTCATTGTAACATATTGCATTCACTTAATTTAAATATTATTGGCATTGTATTAACTCATTAGTTCATTCATCATCCCACTGACTTCAATAGAAGTCCCAACTAGTCTTCCACTGCCTGTAACATCTTTGTTGGCAAGAAATTTGTAGACATTCTACACCCTTCCCCCTTCCCCTGGGAAATGATCTGCCACAGGTATGACAAAGGGTCTGTATCTATACGTAACTGAAAAGGGCGATCAGCCACCCTCTGTCATCTAAAGTAAACACAGCTTTCCACTCTTATCAATTTCACTGCTCTATTTCTCTGCTCTGTTTCTCTTCCTCTCTCTTTCCACATATCTTGTAAACCGTAATGTACACCATGTCCTAGCTTGTTTCTGCAGTGCAAAACAATTCCTCCAATGCAAAACAGTTAAAAACAAATGAACATAGGAGCAAATAAATGCATCTTCATTCTTTCCTTGACATTCATTCACATTCACATTTGCTGATTCCGCCAGCAAAGAACAAATGAATGGGCTCATTCATTCATTTTCTAGATTAATTTCTAAAATAAGTGCGCACTAAGTCAAACTGATTTCTCCTTACACCAGACTTATGCCTCATTTATTTCATCTAGATTATATAAGCCTTCCAAAGGAGGTTGTGCATCCTTTGGGGGCCTTCGATTACTGATGCAGTGGTCCAGGGAGGGGAAAAAACATGTTTCATCCTCCTAAATGAAAACCCTCTCTCAGAATAAAGCTGGCAGTCCAGGATCTGCACTGATAAAGGACTCTGCCATAGCTGGGACCTTGCATACGAATTCCCAATGACCATGGTAACACTGAAATGTGGATTCTTTCAAATTTGGAGGGGTATCCAGGGGAGAGATAATACTGGGGTTGGATCTAGTTTTGCAGGTCACCCATTGGCCTTTCCTGTTATTCTGAACCGGGTCCTTGGTTTCTCCAGGGAATGGAGTGCAATAGCCAGGGGGTGTGGTTAAATCCATGGTAGCTGCTTAATTTTCTTTACTCACCAATCCTCAGAGAGTGGGGACTGGCAGCAATCTCCATTAGCCACACCAAAAGGAGCACCAGAGGCGCCAAGATCCCGGGCATCTTCTATAAATCCTCATGGAGCCCTGCGGTGGTCTGGGCATGACATAACTCTGCAAAAGAGAGAGAAAGAGGAAAAGGTTGTTATGGAAACTCCTCCTGTCAATCACAAGAATGCCCTCTAGGCTGCAGTTCTACGCTAAGGTTGCCATACGTCCGGAATTTCCCGGACATAGTCTGTATTCAGCCCTCGCAAACCTCTGAGTGAAAATCAAATGGCAGCCCATGTCGGTCGTGTAGATTTTGGCTGGAAAACTCCCCGAGAAGCTTGACAACTTTTGTGTCCCAGTTTTCACTTTTTGAAATATGACAATCCTATTCTACCCTGAATGCAGCTGATCCCACAGGCCAATAGGGACATGTGAAGCCTTATAAAACCCTCAAATCCAAGGCAATACCTCAGTCTGAGCAATTTATATCTCACTGAGAAGCCAAGCTGTCTGCCTTGTCTCCAATGGAAATGGATCGCCAGTATGCCTTCGAAGATGTCAACCACCTATGGACCTGTGGATTGTTCCTTTTTTGTCACAATCCCACCTCAAACAAATATATACACAAACACAAACTGCTGCACCTAGCCATAAAGTGTATCTGAAGCCTGACACAAATTTAGAAATGAGGCATACTCTCATGATTTGCTAAAACGAATTTTTTTTCACCCAAGTATTTTCAGAGGAGTGATGTTTTGGCTAGTGCAAAGGTATGGGATTCTGTTTTGTGCCATTTTTACATTGTTTTATTATGTACAGAATGCTTTTTATTCTTTTGTACAGCGCTCTGCAATTTTTATATATCCTAGACATATTAAGAGACTCTTGAGAGTCCCATGGACTGCAAGAAGATCAAACCTATCCATTCTTAAAGAAATCCGCCCTGAGTGCTCACTGGAAGGACAGATCCTGAAGCTGAGGCTCCAATACTTTCGCCACCTCGTGAGAAGAGAAGACTCCCTGGAAAAGACCCTGATGTTGGGAAAGATTGAGGGCACAAGGAGAAGGGGACGACAGAGGACGAGATGGTTAGTGTTCTCGAAGCCAGCAGCATGAGTTTGACAAAACTCCGGGGGGAAGTGGAAGACAGGAGTGCCTGTCGTGCTCTGGTCCATGGGATCACGAAGAGTCGGACACGACTAAACGACTAAACAACAACAACAAAGAGTGACCTTGTAAAGTAAGGGATGGAGATCCTCATGGACATCCAGATGTTGTTGGACTCCAACTCCCAACATCCCTCTGGGTGGGGCAACATCTGGAGGGCCACAGGCTTTCCAACCTCTGCTTTAAACCTTCCTACCTCTTCAGTCACCCCCAAATCTGAAATGGCGCCCTTGAATTCGAGCCATTGTTCAAGCTACAGGAATTTGCAAGGGATTGTAAACCGCCTTGTGATCTTCGGATGAAGTGTGGCATAAAAAATTAAATAAATAATATTCATCAGATATTAAGCCAGCACCAGAGGAGACAGCTTTTGACCAAAGCATAGGCCACTCCAGTCCAAGATTGATGGCCAGGTGGAGGGAGGTGCTAATTATATCTCACATTGTGCTGGCAATTGTTGGGCTGGGCTGGAGCACAGGGTGGCACTTATGTAATTATTAAGAGCTATTTTCTTCCATTTCAGAGATGCAGCTGCAAAACTGAATAAAAGATCACAGAAAGAACTGTGGGAGGGAGAATTTGAAGAAGGGTGGTTCAGAGGAAGAGCCATGAAAAATAAAACTTGTCATATCCAGCAAATGGCAGCACAGTAAGGATGAATTATTTCCCCCATATTGGCCCTCTGGGGCATCGTATAGAATTTATCGGTCCTTCTCCACTCTTTTAAGTCATATAAACAAATTAAGAGTAATTCACACGTTCTGCATATGCAAGAGTGTGGCAAAACAAAATAGACATCAAGCTCATGTTATTTTATTCGCATTTCTATCGCCTGGGTTTCTTTTTTTAGAAAAAAAATGGGGGGGAGTGGAGATCGCTGTATGTTTTGAGTTTTTAAAAGCTCTAAGTTCCTAGGGTTGTATTTTTAAAGGGTTTTGTTCTAGCAAAATTTACTGGCTTCTTTTGAGATCCTGCTCATGTTTTGACTGAATGACATACCTACAAATTCATCACAAAATCCATTTAAGGCTAGGGGGTATCCAACCCCCCTCAACCCAAAATCTTTTAAGGTTGCAATGTTAACATTGTTGTCCAAAACACAACTACGCCTCCACATTCACTCTTCTCTGAATTTTGCAATGTAGTTCTCCAACTGAAAACTATGTACAAAAAAAAGCACATGCTTATATGCATGAAAATAATGTACAACATGCATTCTGTTGTGGGAGAATGCTTGCAAAAATGTGTATACAAGGCAAAACTGCTTACAGACCTGTGTATATTAGGTGTAGGAATGGGGAGAACTGAACTGAATGTTGGAAAAATGAGAAATGGAAAGAAACCAGAATGGACAGATCTGTCCTTTAGTGCGAGGCTGAACTGGCAAACACTTAGAAATATGGGAATGGGAAGGAGCATAGTAGACTGAGTTCAGACAGAAAGGAAATGCAAAGGGAACAGACAGTGGCAATTACCTGAAAAAAATCGTTATAGTGGCCAATTTACAAGGCAGCATTGGTGAGACCATGTTGCTGTAGTAATATAACCAAGCAGAAAATCAGAACCTTGCTGAGAATTTAGCTTTAATAAGGTAAGTATGGAGACATGCTGCAAGTTCTGCCAGAAGACATGATAGGCAGGTTCTGTTCTATCATTAGTCGGTAGAAGATGGGATCTTTGACAATGTTGACTCTTCTCACCCTTCCTGTGGAAAAGGAGGATTCCAAACGCAGCAAATTAGGGTGCCGATTGCCACACATTCTGACTGCTCAGGGTGAAAGTGTCAGCAATAGGATGCTGACACACAGCACAGCTTCTGTGAAGGAAGAGAAAGGTCCACGAGGCTGGGGTAAACATCACATGAATGCAAGGAAGAAAAGTGGTTGCGGGCTGGTAGTAGTCTGAAGAAGTAAACGAACAGGGGGAAAGAGCCCAGGAGTGAACTGTGAGGTGGGTAGTGCAGGGCTGTATAGCTTCAGGGAAGGGAATAAAAGAGAAGTAAGACTCGAGCCCTGAAATCAGCCCTGAGTGCTCACTGGAAGGACAGATCCTGAAGCTGAGGCTCCAGTACTTTGGCCACCTCATGAGAAGAGAAGACTCCCTGGAAAAGACCCTGATGTTGGGAAAGATTGAGGGCACAAGGAGAAGGGGATGACAGAGGATGAGGTAGTTGGACAGTGTTCTAGAAGCTACCAGCATGAATTTGACCAAATTGCGGGAGGCAATGGAAGACAGGAGTGCCTGGCATGCTCTGGTCCATGGGGTCATGAAGAGCCAGACACGACTAAATGACTAAACAACAACAACAACAACAACAACAACAACAACAACAACAACAACAACAAAAGAATCGAGGGGAAAGTATAAGTGGAGATGTTGGGATAGCTCTCAGAGAAGGCCTAGGGTAGGATGTACTGTGTGCCTTTAGCCATGAGGCTAAAGAGGCTGTCATGCTGAAGTTGGAGCTTGAATTTCATATAATGATTTGCACTAACCAAACGACTGTTTGATCGCAGGCCTCCAGCGACAAAGAGATCCCGTAAATAAATACACCCTTTGGGCACATTTCACAATGAGCTTGATAAATGGGAGGAGAAGTGCATGCTGGTCAGAAAATCAGGAGCAGGAGACTGAATTAAGGATGTAAAGGCACAAAATGGATGGTTTGGAAGAGGCGGGCAGAAGAGAGTCTGCGAACAGGCACCAGGAGTTGCCTGACAGCCAGAAAAACCCTTCAGATGCCGACTCTAGCTGCGAGATCCCAAGAACAGCTGTGCTGTCCTGGGGCAGCAGTGATGATAAATGAGGCAGAAGGAGGAGAGAGAAATCCAAGAGGACCCTGGGAGGTGTTGGTAATTGCAGCTGAGCAGCCAGTCAGTGTACAGCCGAGGAAATGTAGAAGAAGGAAAGATTTCCATTTGAGCAGTTGATTAGTGTCTTATCTACTCAGGGCTGAACCTGTACCTGCCAAATCACCTTTGGCTTAATGGCAGTCATTTAGCTCCACCAGCCAAAATAGAAAAATATGCAAAGGCTTAATTTTTTTAAGTGTGTGCACCTTACAAATGCACGGAAGTTGTGTTCTCAGACCAGGAAGTCATTTTCTCAGACCCAGGGAGTCTGACTTATCATTATCATTGCCCCATCTTCTCTCTCTCTCTCTCTCTCTCTCTCTCTCTCTCTCACACACACACACACACACACACACACACAGTCTCTCACACTCACAACATCAAACACTACTGAAGCCCACCATCACAGACTTAAAAGCCTAGAGGGTGTTTGTTGTTTGCCTAAGAATACAAATGAAAAACGTCATCGCCCTACAATAAGCCCAATGGTTCAAAACATTCCAGAGTATCTGCAGTCTGAGAAATATCAGGGTGTGCACTGCAGGAGGCCTTAGTGTTTATGCACAACCTTGTGAAGTAGGTTAGTCGCAGAAAGAATGACTTGTTTGGGATATCTAGAGGAATAAGATGGGATTAGACACTCTAACCACTACCACCCAGGTTGAAATAGAGATTTGGAAGAAACATTTATGCCTCTTAGCTGCCCAGTTAGTGAAAGTAATTCTTTGATGGTCACTCAACAATTCAATTATCCTTCCCGCTCTTCCAAGGCAAGATATGCACTGCCTTTCAGTACACAAGGGACTGTACGGCTGCATTGTGCTCCAGCAGCAACTAAGTCCATATATGAACCATTGTAACAATGCACCTGATTCCCTAGATGAGAATCATGCAGGCACATCTACCCCAAGAGATTCATGAAATACTCTCTCTTACCGGAGTTGTGAGCTGTTCTGAAGCTCTGCATTTTTTTATTTTACCAAATCTTGTGAGATTTCTTTGGCAGACATGAAATCAAAGCATAAGAATTTATTCTCACTTTCCTGCTCTAAACATCCAGGCCTGAGGATTTATTGCAAAGTTGTAAAGCTCCTTACAGGAGTT